TAGTTAAACGTGACTAATTGAATCAATTAAAAACAATTGTATTGAAACATCAGTTATTTTCAACTAATTGTAAAAAAAAAAAAATTACTATTTGAATTAGTGACTGACTTTTTACTTCTAAATCAGGTATTTTTAACTGATTCAATAATTTAGAGTGTAAGATATAATATATATTGTCCAATGTATAAAATTTACAGTGAAATTTACGTGTGTGACGTGACGTAGGGGGGAGGGGGGGTTCAAGATTTGTGACGAAGTGTGACATAGGGGGAGGGAGGGGTTTAAAATGGTCAAAAATCGCGTGACGTATTATGTGTACGGCCCCTTAAAAAAAAAATTTTAAATTCGAATATCCTAAATATTTACTGTTTTCAAACAACTACCATTTTTTTAATGCACTATTATTAACAATAACACTGAAACAAATATTTTTTATTAGTATAAACAATTATAATCTATATAAACCTTAAAACGATAACGCAATTTCACCGAAAAAATCTTGGGGGGTAACGGGGAGCGAACCCGGGTCCCGCTGGACTAATGTCGCACCGCTTAACGCACTCGGCAGTTCAACGCAATGGATACTGAGAATTAATAACCACTGCACATGTTTCAGTTCAGTGCCGTAACTAGAGATTTTAAGCATTGGTATATACTTTTAATATTTTTTATGTAATAAAACATTTTAGATGATTTTTTAATTATTATAACTTTTTAGTAATTTAATTTGCAACGTTAACAATTAATAAATAAATTGATTACTATAATTAAATTTTTAATTATTTTTATTAATTTATTAGAAATTATTATAAATATTTATTAATTAATTTTATTATTTAATATGATTAATTGATTATTAATTAATAATAATAAATTCATTAAATTTTTTATTAATAGAAAATTATAATTAAACTAAAATGGAATTTAAAAAAATTAATTTTTGACTAATTTTATTACTTTTATATTTATTAATAAACCAGCGCTGTCTGGGTCATTATTTAATTTAAAGAATAAGCGTAATTAAGAAAAAGATATTTGTCTTTAATATTTACTCCTTTACTGTTATAATTCTGAACTTATGAAAAGAAAAAGAACACTTCTAAGAATAAAACTTGTAAGATAACAGATTTAAGTTATAAGAAAACCACTTGATCGATGTTTCCTAAAGCATAGAATAGAACATTGTATATATTGTATAATTTATATTTATTTCAGTTTTAAACAGTTAGAAAAACAACTAAATTTAAAAACTTGGGGAATTGACATTACGTTAAAGGCAAAACTGCGTAAGTTCATGTAAGATGAGATTTTTTTGTATAATTTGTTTAACAATTGAATATCATTTACTCCGTCATTTATGTTTTTGTACGACCATAAATAACAACCCACACTTTTAACGTTCAGAACCTTGCATCGGTAGCACAATCGTTAATTAAGGGATGAGAACTCGGTGGCTCTCAAGTCACAAACAACCTTCATAAATTTTTCGACCAAACGTACAAAAAAAAGTGGTTTCAAGGAAGTGAAAAAAAAGAAAATTGATGGCGGTAAAAGGATATAGAATCTACCGCGGCTAAAGATGATGCTTCTTGATCCTAACCAATTTCATATATTAAATTTTTTAAAAATTAACGTTTCATTTTATATATTATTAATAATATATAACATAATTTATATATTTATATGATTATAAATATATATATAATATGGGTAATTTTCACGACACTGCGTCAAAGTTTGCACGTTGCCAGCTAGGAAAGGTATAATTAAGAAGAAAAAAATTTTTTTTTAAAAAGGACGTATCTATATTATACCGAAAATTGACTAATCAATTATATGTATATGGCACTCTTCATATATTCATATACACAGCTGTCGAACCCGTCTACGACAAGTTTTTAATTTTATACATAAGATTCCAGTTTTTAAAGTAAAGCAATTTATATAACTATATATAAATGAAATACAATTATTCAGCGTTCTTATAACGATAAAAGGAATCAGTTATCTATTTTTTATAAACTGCGAAAGATAAAAATAACTCAAAGATCGCCTTTGTGATTTCCTCACTAAAAAGAAAGTCTTACTTTTAAGCATGAAAAATACCTTAATTTAAGAGCTTAATTTCAAATCATATTTTTTTGCTAAGTTTGAAAAACAAAGCATGCTGATTATCAGCACATTGAATGTTTTTTAAAAATTAATCAGCAGTTTTATACTTATATAATATAAAAAAGTTTGAAAACCCCCAACAATACTTTTTACATCTTTATTAAAAATTCTATAATATATATAGTTACTTATTTTTTAAAATTTATTTACACCATTAAATATATAAATTGTAAATTCAGATTGCCTAGAACCTTATTATTATCATGCAAGCCCAGTTTAAATTAAGACTGACCTTACTTTCAAGACTTGTTTAATTTCAGATATAGTTCTTAAAATAAGATTTACTTTTTACTATATCTTATGTGCGGGTTAACACACACTTGTAGTTTCTTACGCAGATTCTTATATCAGCAACCCTATTATAAGAAACCTTCTTGAATCCTAAGATCTTATACATGAGTACCTTCACAGGTTCTCATATAAACATCACAGTAAACCTGTTTTGTAATTGTTACATTACAAACAGGGCATTGTAAGGTCATACTCTAACAATAATCTATCCTTATAATATAAAATCATTTCACCGCCGAAGATTTAGAAAAGTTCTCAAGGTCATTCAAGCTAACGGCCCCCTAGGGGCCGTTACGTTTGGTCATGCAATTGAGAAACTGGATGTTATAAGGTGTTACGCGTCATGTTAAGTAAATGGCGCTTAACACCTTATAGCATCTAGGTCCTCAATTTTTATTAAGATTCTGAAACAGAAAAACCATATTAGACAAAAAAAAAAAAAAAAAAAAAAACCATATTATTAACTCGCGTACCCGAGGATAGAAGTCCGGCGTGTTTCTCCTGAGCTGAACAGGCGCGTTACAGCAGTCAAGAATCTAAACCATTTCAATTTTATCTTGGATATCCGTTTTAATTACATAAATAAGATTTCTATGTTAGAACCAGTAGAATTTCTAAGCCAGAAAGTTTTTCAGTTTGGAAAGCAAGTAAACACCAGTAGATCCATCTCCAATTTTCATTAGCCTCAACTGATTCTTAAATGTAACGAAGTTGAAGTCCACAACTGATCAACGAAAAAAATTTGTTTCATCTATTCGAATATTATTTTTAATTTAATATTTAATTGTGTAACAATTATTACCAGAACATAAACATCAATCTATTTTTTCTAAACATTTTTGTGTCAATATTGCTGCGATATATTTTATTAATTTACTAAGTAAACAATTTTTTTCGTTGATAAACGTTGTGGACTTCAACATGGTTAAATATAGGGTTTTTTTATACCTTTACGGTTTTTTGACAGATCGCCTCCCTGTTCTTTGTTCTCGTAATGAAGCAGAATTTTTCTTTAGTCGATAAAACATCAGAACACAACTGAAATTTCTTTCTATAAAATTACATACTGTCATATGTTAAAGTTAAATTTTTAACATAAAGAAGTGGTACATTTGCCCCTTGTAATACTACATATTTTATTTTATTTTATTACAGGTGTGTCTTCATCAAGTCAACATGTTTTGTAACTGCTCTGTAAACAATGGGTAAGTGTTATGTAACTGCTGTTTCTAAAACGTTTAGAGTAGTTTCATAATTCGAAGATATATAAGTAGCTCAGGTGGTGAAACACCCTGGCTTGCGGTCATCAAGATTAAACCCAGTTTAGCTCGGTTAGCACTTACATTTCATGGGTGACCGTCTTAGTGACTGCTGTAGGAGTGGTGTTTTCACTGTGATCGAGACTCATCAAGCGAAATGTTTAACGTCGAGGTACTGTCGATAATTTACCGGTGTACAGCATTAGAACTCGACTGTCAATAAACCGGTTGTACTCAGGAAAGGTTTCCTCCAGTTTCCTTCTCCGTAGTCGACAAAACCCATTATACGGGTAGTTCAGGCAAATCCGGACGCAACTTAATTTCAAGTCGTTTTGCTGACGCAATATTAAATAAGTATAGATTTTAAGGTATTATTTGAAATATATAAGTGCAAGTTTTTAGCTCTCTAGGTAAAAAACTGTGAGTGGAAGAGGCAGATCTTTTTTCTTTTGGGAAGTGGCTCTAAATAGTAGCTTCTCGATAACTATACAAGATTCCTCTATGAGGTTGAGCTTCAGTCTTCCGCGGGCAGAGAAGCTCCACAAGCTAGGAATATCGGAATCATCATCAGGATGATGATTAGGTCGTAGGGACAAAAACGGCAATTATTTAAATTTTGTCCTCATTTCAACCACTGCTGATCGAAAGATCATTAAAAAATAAGTGTTAGGCTTTTAATTATTTTTTAATTGGCATTGGTTAAAATGAGGACAAGTTTTCCGCTTTCTCTAGGTTGGTAACTCCGAGCTTCATCCATCGCTTCTTTTATGTCAAAGGACTATTACCTTAGTTCTTTTTTTCAATAATGTCACTGTTTTTTTGAAGTAAGAAGATTTATGGTGAAAGAAGTTAATAACAAAAAAACGCGCTTGTTCTAAGTTGGTGCAAACTGTTGGGCTTTATTTCTAGACCACTAATTTATCAAATGGCGTTATTCCCAATTGAATAGGATTTATGTCACATAATATACTTTCGACAGTATGCCAGGACTACTATAGCCATAGAGATATTATAAATAAAGTGGGGAAGGCATGGACCTAAGTATCCGCTTAATAGAAAGAGAACCGAGTTCGTATGGGTGTCCTCTTTTATTATACACAGTACCACTGAAGAACAGAGCTACGGTTTCGATTTACTTTCTTTCTCTTCCAGCGTCTCATCATCACTTTCGGGCGGTCCTATACCTTCCCCACTCTATTTATAATATCTATAAGATTACAGCATTCACCCAGTGGGCACACTTGTTCAAAAGACGTCCTAAAAATGTTCTGTCTTGGCCATTAGATGTCTTTAAGATGTCTAAAAGATCTGTGGATGTGGAAAGGACGTCCAAAATACGTCTTTAGGACGTACTTTAGACGTCTTTTTTTACATCTTTTAGATATCTTTTGAACCAGACATATAATGTCTCTTAGTTGTTTTTAGATAACTCTGAGACATTACCATCATTGTCCCCGAATATCCGCGGACAAAAAGGGACGTCTTTTAGACGTCTCTAAGCTCACTGGGAAATGTCATAAATGACATTGCACACTGTCTGCCTTATGAAGGCCGATAATGTATTGGAACATTAATATTTTTCTATCTTTCGTAGGGGTGCTACAGACGTAGGACACTTAAGAGGACCTGATAAGTGATTAGTGAGCTCGCTTCCTACAACTCTACATGGTGAGTACTTTGGCAAACGCATAAATATTTGATTTACACTGTAAAATTTAAAGATTGTAAACATAAATTTTCCTCATTATAAAAAAGAATTATTTAAAAGACAATATTTCCATACTTTAGTGCATTAATATAAAAAGTACTTTCATTCTCTATTCACGGTAACAATTAGTAAACAATATGTTCACTTGCACGCGTCAGTATTATTTATTCAGCAAATATAAAATTAAATACTCAAATTTAACATGTCTAACACGCTCTGAAGAAAGGTAGCTAAGAAGCAAAGAATTTTAAGTTATGTTTGTAATTTTTGGGAATGAAAATACACGAAAGAAATCAACTTTTAATACAAATCACTGATGCCTAAGAATGTTCGAAGGTCTTTAAAATTTCTATGTTATGTCAGATTTTCAATTATCGCCCAACGGAAACGGCACTGACTCATGGTTAAAGGACGTGAAACTGGTAAACAATCTTTACATAACACTAACGTATGTAAAGTTTGAATTTCACTAAACATGTGTGGGGATTGACAAAAGATCTCGCATCTGTGGTCAATTCTCATGTAGATCTCTCACAAGCACAATGTGGCCTCGACTTGTAGCATATATACAAATTTCGAATTAGCTTACCCCCGTCAAGGGCAGTTCTCCGATTACGTAGCCTTACTGATGTGTCCAGTAATGAGGACAGTAGTGGAATGATGTACTTTTTTCTCCATAGATTCACCTTGTAGATGAATGCGTTTGAGTGGTCCACGAATAATTACTGAAACCGTGTCCTATCGCGTGTCGTAGAAAACGTCTAAATAGCGAATTACTAAATGCATTATTAGGCAATTTAGACTTCGGTTTGAAAGCAGAACTTTTGCGTGATTCCCGCTGGAAGCACAAGACTCCTGTGACTGTTGTATTCAGGACGAAAGCGACTTACTGCTTCTCCAATTTTTTGGGCACATGTCTTTTTGCGTGGAAGTCTTCCTTCCGGAATTTTTTTTGCTGTTAGAAGCGTTTTTTAATTCACACTTTGTCGGTGGTTAAAAGCTCATATTCTGAGTAGATGACGCGGAGCAAACTCTCTTTCTTTGCGGGCAATGGAACCATGATAGACTGGCCATGTTTGCGGTAGTTGGCTTTAAAATCAACGTCGATAACATGGTGTCTACCATGGCTCAAAACGTGGACTCCTGGAGGCATATCGAATCCAAAATTATTAAAATACCGGAGAAAAAAGATTAAGAGGGAAGACGAGGTTGATCAGAGCAAATCCAGAGCATAACTTGAGCGGATTCCTAGCAAGTTAAAGAGCAGGACAAGGGGACCACTACTTGAAAAGTTCAAGGAAGACGGTAGAATGAGTGTAGTCAATTTGCTCTCCAAATGGAATGTGCTAATCTAATTTCTTGTTATCCTAAGTCTGATTTAAAATGAAACCTAGTGTTTCACAACGTTACCACTGGACTTTACAATTTCTATACACTATATTACGACGATGTCAGTAATTGCAGAGCGCTGATTATATTAGACTTACATTCTTTCCTTACAAATCATTCAAATAAGTTAACTAAATCTTGACCAAAAATATCATACTATAAAGATTAGATATTTTTTACAAAATAAAAACTGTAAATCACATTTGATGGTGCAGTAAATATTATGTAAGATAATTTATCTTGATCCGGCAAGGATCCTGGTGGCATGTGGAGTAACTAGAAAATCCCATTAGTAAATAAAGGATAGATGTATCTTCGTCGTTTTCTTACTAATGAGATTTTCTAGTTAGTTCACGTGCCACCAGGATCCTAACAAAATTAATTAATAAATTATTACTTATAAATTAAAATCTTTACAAATTTATAAATTTTTTGTTTTTCAGATTGGAAGAAATGGAAGAAGAAAGTAAGTACGTTTCAAATTTACATTCTTTTTCAAATTACAATTATTAGTTTCTTATCACATGGTTTGACCCACAATTCATAACTACATTCTAGAAAACATATAAATTTATTATTTCTTTGTTTATACACCCGTTTTAAGCCTTACAAATTCAGTTATACAAGTGTTTTACACCAAGGACTTTTTACAATGTTCTGCTCTAAACTGAATACTAGAAGCTATAGTAGCGTTTACAGCAGGACTTTGAATTAGAAGTGCTCATATTTGCCTTGTCCACTTGTCTAATGGGTTTTCTTGCCAGAGGAGAGGGAAACTGAGCCTTCCAATTCTATAACTCGCCCGACGCTCGGGCTGGTTTCTCTTATGCATGAAGGAGTATAAGGAGAAGTATGTATATGTATCCCTATTGACTGTACTTGACTGCGTAAAATCGCCGTGCACGAAAATTGGCATACCGGAAATTTGTTCACTGATATTAGCGCCCCTACAGGAGAAAATATATACCCTCCATGCACGGAGAGAACTTTGAACCATAAAAGACAGTGTCTAATTCAGAAGGTTAAAAGAGGGGGAAGATCACGGTAAATCTGAGTGATCTCACAGAGTTTTTCCATTCACAAATCGCAAGTGGCGGTGACAGTCACCGTCAGAGAGCGCTACATCTTGTCGAAAACTAGGTTAAGTTTCAAATCATCGTCAAAAACTCTGATCACACCGTGATTTTAGGTTACAACACAAACAAACAAGGTTCAAACTTCTCTCCGTGTGCTGTCCATGATAAAAGTTTTGTTTACGTAGTTTTTTTAACAATAAAATAATAGTAATATGAATTGTTTTATAAAAAATTGCATGTCTAGTTATAAAGCAAATAAAAATGCTTCTGAAAAAAGTGTTTTTTCAAAGCACCGAGAATGATAAGTTTATTTAATATACTATTTTGTAAGGGTAAAAGTTTTTATACTTTTACCAACAGACATTTATGAATTTAATGCAAAGAATTTTTGGTTGTTTATTTGAAGTCCTTTCTATTTATATAACGTATAAAACAATTTAATTCTGTTCATCTATTTTACAATACAACACTCAGAGGATCCTCTAACTTTAAATATCAATCAGCTGTCAAAGATAAAAATACTTAAAATGTAAAATTGCACTTATTTCTCCCGTTTGGCGGCGCTGTTATCAGTGAACATGAGGCTATTACTTTTCGCGTACCTGTCGATTTTACTGCAGAGAAGTACAGTCAATATCAGGAAATTTTCCCATTGGAGATATGTCTCCTTATACTCCTTCATGCTCTTATGACAGTCAGGGCTGTAAAAAAAATAAAAAAATGAAAGTTGAAATTTTTAACTTTTAAATACACTACCATACAAAGCATAAAAATGCGCAACTTTTTTTCCTTTGACATTTTTTTCTAGGAATTATATTGTCAATAATAATGGACAAAAACTAAAAAATTGTGATTTTTCAATTTAATTAAATTTCGAAACATAAATCGTCATATTTTGAACAAATCTGCATGAAATTAATTGATATTTGGTACACTTACTCATTCAGGTCTATAGATGACGACAAAATGATAAAAAATTTAAAAAAAGCTATTGTTTTTTTATTTTGTAATAAAAATAGTGGTGTGTCGGTAAAAACGGTTTCTCAACTTCAATGAAAAAAAGTATGCGGTGAAGTTTTAAGTTAAAGGAACTTTCAGTGAGAAAGTTGTTTATTAATATGTAATGAAGTTTTCTGGAAGTTTTTAGACTGATTCATTCAAAATTAAGCGAAATATGGACCATTTACCAAAATGCGCCACGCCGCGTATTGACAAATTTCGCCGCTGTGTGAGCCGCTGTGGCAATGGCGTAGTGAACACGGCGTATTTGTCAACAAAAAACATGTGTTTTTTGTTAACTTTACTTAATAAATATATATTCTTTAATATAATGTAATAAACAAATAAATATAAATAAAATTTAAAATTCTTAAAATGAACAATAATTTTTTTATTAATTTATGATTTAGTAATAATAATACTGAATAATAATTTAATACAATATATTTTACAGTAAAACATTATTTTTTTAAATTGATTTCAGGTTTTATTGTTTAATTTTATATATTTATTTTATTTTTGTGTTTTTTTATGTGATTTTTTAATAATTATGAATTAATAAAAAAATTAATGATTAAAATTAAATTAAAATTTTATTTATTTATTTATTACATTAAAATAAAAAATTATGTATTTATTAAGTTTTTTTACTAGTTTTCGATTTGGACATGATGCAAAACGTAGACGTAAAAATACGTTGAGCTTATTTCGTTGTAAATTCTTTGCCACGAAAATAAAACACTAAAGAAACATAAAAACTAAAAACTTTTGTTGTCAATCTATAAAATAAGCACAATTTAAAAACCCTTTAGCATTTTATCTAAAACAATTTTTGACTCACATGTTTTTTGTTTACAAATACGCCGTGTACACTACGCCATTGACACAGCGGCTCACACAGCGGCGAAATTTGTCAATACGCGGCGTAGAGCATTTTGGTAAAAAGTCCATATTTCGCTTAATTTTGAATGAATCAGTCTAAAAACTTCTACAAAACTTCATTACATATTAATAAGCAACTTTCTCACTGAAAGTTCCTTTAACTTGAAACTTCACCGCATAATTTTTTTCATTGAAGTTGAGAAACCGTTTTTACCGACACACCACTATTTTTATTACAAAATAAAAAAACAATAGCTTTTTTTAAATTTTTTATCATTTTGTCGTCATCTATAGACCTGAATGAGTAAGTGTACCAAATATCAATTAATTTCATGCAGATTTGTTCAAAATATGACGATTTATATTTCAAAATTTAATTAAATTGAAAAATCACAATTTTTTAGTTTTTGTCCATTATTATTGACAATATAATTCCTAGAAAAAAATGTCAAAGGAAAAAAAGTTGCGCATTTTTATGCTTTGTATGGTAGTGTATTTAAAAATTAAAAATTTCAACTTTCATTTTTTTATTTTTTTTACAGCCCCGACTGTCGTTAGAGAAACCAGCCCGAGCGTCGGGCGAGTTATAGAATTGGAAGGCTCTGTAGAGAACCTCCCTTGAGTACAACCATCTTTACCGACAGTACACATATACGTCAAACCTCCCGCTCGATATATCTCGATAGTGTTCTTAAATTCTCGAGAATTTAAGTTGGGGTAATATTCTCAAAGAAATTACGGTAATTTAATTTTTCTAAGAGAATATAAGAGAATTTAAGAGAATATTGAGAATTTAACTTTATTTCTTTAAATAATGTATATTTATTATTTTTATTAGTATAAATACATATATTTTAGCACAAAAAGGAATCATATTATTCATTTATTTCAAGTTCCGAACTTCGTTCGGTGGCTGCTGAAGTCGAAGGCATTCCTAGAATATCAATTGCAATAGAGCTTAATGGCGTTCCCATAAAATTCACTTTCCACCAAGTGATAGGATCTAATGTCTCAATAGTCTTGCGAATGTATGGTTTACTATAAAGATTCTCGTTGTTTCGATATAAAGCGAGGTCTGTCATGATGTCTGTGACTGTTTGAGATTCTTCTGTATATAAGTAGCATGCTCGATCGTGAATAAATTCCACTGCAATAACGAATTCTTCTGTTCTTAAGTATTTGCTGTTACATTTTGGGTCCAACAGATTTACAGCAAAATGAATTGGTTTAAGTGTAAATTGTCTCTGATTTTCAAAAATCTCTACAATTAGTTTGTCTTCGTTGATATAGGGACAATCTAAGTGCGGTCACCACTACGGTTTTGGTGACGCCATGTTTGCTTAGTAGCTGTTAAACTTTTGGAACAATCACGCGCCAAAAATTGAACCGCAGCAGTCTCAAGGTATTGTCTTATAGGCCATCAATAGGATGGTCAGAAGAAACTTAACGAAAGTCATACCCTCATCTGTTATTTGATGTCAAACATTTTATGTTAGATAATATAAACATTGACACCTAGAAGATATGATATATGCAAGCTTATGATTGCAAACACTGTCTTGCAATAGAGTTTGAACTCCGCTGTAAACAATCCACTAACCCAGTGGGCACAGGGACGTCTTAAAGACGTCCTTTTTTGTCCGCGGACAATTCGGAGACAATGATGGTAATGTCTCTGAGTCATCAAAAAGACAACTAAAAGACGTTCTATGTCTGGTCCAAAAGACGTCCAAAAGTCGTCTAAAAGACTTAAGAAAGGACGTCTAAAGTACGTCTTAAAGACGTCTTTTGGACGTCTAAAAGACATAAACTAAAAGACATAAACCTTTTTACATTCCTTCAGATTTTAAATAAACATCTCTTTTATAACATTTTCTAAGTTGAAACTCAGTAATATTGTATTAAATTTATTTTAAGTTTAATTTTATTTTTTCTAAAATGTGGAGAAATAATGAAAAAATTCCTACGAAGCTGGGATCGAATTTGGATACCTTGGGCTTGAAGCACTGCGCCTTAAGCACCTCAGCCGTTGAAGACAGATATGAACCTCTACAAAGTTAACGATCACACGTCAATGAAATGAATTTAACTTAGAAAAATTCCAATGAATTTTACATTCCTGAATTTCTAAGTCCAAGTTGAACTTAGAAAATAATATTTTCTATTTATGGAAATTTTTCTGTTTTCAAATGTTGAATGGAAAAGACGTCTTTTAGACACCTTAAAGACATCTAATGGCCAAGACATAGAACATGTATAGGACGTCTTTTTGTACAAGTCCAAAAAACGTCCGCAAAAAGACATCCTTAGGACGTCTTTTGAACAAGTGTGCCCACTGGGAAGGCTTAACACACTCGAGGAACCTTAGGAAGTATGCATCATACTTGCCTTGTTGTCGCCTAGTTCGAATGGGGCCCGCAAAGTTACGCTAGCAGTGTTTGACCAGTCTTTGAATAATTAGTTAAGCAGTATTCGTATTCCATCGCTTGAAGTAAGAGCCTGCTAAAGA